AAGATAAACATAGGAAGAGACAATTAGAGTTAAGTAAAAACACAATGGGAACTCAAAGGAACAATTAATTCAGGGATAGAGGGTTTCAGGACAGTGAGTACTGGATGATAAGGGGGATTTCTACTAGTGGATGTCAACAGGCAGAGAGAATAAGTTAAACAAAAAGGTGAAAGAAGGCAGTGGTAATATGGATGAGTGTAGCAGAAGCATGTGAAAGAGTATCATGAGGACTGTTTCCTAGAAAACTTTACAAAGTTCCTACATTTATTCTTTCTTTCACTCAGGCACAGTCCATGGAGAACCACCAAATGAGAAACATTCTAATTCAGAGGTGGAAAAAATGATCTCTCTACTAGTTAAACTGAATCATTCACATTGCTCCAGTAAAATAAACATTCACTTGGACATTCAATAATCTTGAGATTCTAGAATTCAATGTTTTGAGAGTTGTCCACTCTTATTCTTGTTTTATGGTTACCCTTGAAATTTTATCTTGTAAGAGTATTGAAAGCTAAAGTTAATATTTTAATCTACCCTCCCAAATAACACAAGGACCTTAGAACACTTTTTAACTCCAAGGGTCCCCTCCTGACATACATACTATCGTGGTCCAATATTTAGTCTTGTCTACTTTTTTAGCCTCCCAAATCAAAATGATAAGTATTGACAGTTATCGAAGAGGTTTTAGTTTAGACTTAGCTATGTGTTGTCAACCTTTATAGGAAGGCTGAAGCAAAGTTAAGTGAAGCAAAATAGTACATTTGGGCCAGGGTTAGGACAATCACCTAGGCACTACAAAATTCAGGATAAAGTGCTAGACTCCCATATGGCCAACCACTGTTCGAGTTGTGGACAGAAGTCTGACTACTTTTCCTATTTTTCCAAAATCTTTTCAAAAGAGGACTGGGGAAGTCATGCCCACAAACATTAACAGACCATTTACTTTGTATTAACAGGATTCTTCCTACCTCCTGTCCCTGGCATAGTATCTTTCAACCGATTAGTGTATTCTTTTGCTTATGCCTTCCCAAGAAAACAGAACTTCCCTTTTCCTTGAGATGTAGATTAAGCCTTTCTTTAACTAAGACAGGGATCTTCCCTTCCAATCGCTGACCTAAGAATTTGTGGAACCCACCTATAACCTACCCTACAAGCGCCCCCCCCTTCTACATGTCCCACCTTTTTGGGCCAGACCAATGAGAAATCTTTTAATTAAATGTTGTCTGTCAATCTCAAAAGCAAATAAAAGGAACCTCTGTACATGATCACCCCGAGAAAAGGCATGTATGCCTGGACATAGGTCACAGTTGGCTTGGAAATAAACCGCATTAATTATTAATTATTAATTTTACAGTTGGTTATATTTTTTCCGTGGACAGAGTCCTGACTGGTGGCTTGAAAGTCACGTTCAGGGGCCAGTAGGGAGGTCGTGCCTTCTGGTAAGGCCAGGCCTCCAGCTGGCTCCTACCTGTAAGGCGGACTGTGTGCTGAACGCGGAGCCTGGGTGCCCGCGAGTAGCCAAGGAGAAAGGTGGCGGCAGCGGTGCTAATGGGACGGGGTATCAGCTCCTCGCCCTGACCCTTTCCTCCCAGGCCCAGGCCCGGCGCCAGTTGGAGGCTGCAGCGAAGAAGAAAGGAGCATGTCTGAGACTTCGCTGCATGCACGGAAAGTTGCAGGGAGAAGCCGGCGACGAGCGGGAAGCATCCGCGGTCGAGGCCTCTGCGCTCCCGGGAGTGGACTGTTAGAGTGAGGCAGGGACGCCTGTGGCCTTCCCCTTCTTCCTGCTACAGCCTGGCAATGGAGGAGCCAGCTTCGCAGTGCACCTTTGCGGCAGCACCCG